TGTTCCCCCTCCCATAACACGTGCACATCTTAGGATACACACGCCCGCGGTCGCGGGGCTCAATTAGTCGACTGGCAAGGTCTCTCTCTACCACATCTGGCGTCCCGCGATCGTGCACGACTCCACCCATTGGGTTACAGCTTTGCATGTTTGAATCCAGCAATGTGGAGACCTCAACTGAGCTGGGTTGCAGCTCACTATAGCTTCAAAGCGAAAGGTCACGTGCATTTTGTCTTAATCACGGCGGTAGCATTTCATATTAGGCCCGGATGGCCTTTTTCATATTGTGGTCGCAAGCGAGCTAGATCTGACGTCCGTCCGAGACGATAGAGTTGCTCGGAGTGGCAAACCGCATGGTCGGCACAGTTACGAACGGGGGTTACAGAGAGAGAGAAAGAGAGAGAGAGAGAGAGAGAGACAGAGAGTCGGTAAAGGAATAAATAAAGACGGGTTCGCGGGCCAAGTGAAGTGCCGAGCATGGCCGGTGACGCCGGACTATTGGTCCCGTGCGAGGTCCGAGATGACGGTTCATGACGGCGCCGGTTTCGGCACGGGGGACCGGCGGGGCGGGTTTGGGATGTGGCAGGCGTGGCGCGGTGCGCGAAAGCTATTATTCTATGGATTGAGTTTAGGCCATTTGTTTGTATGCCTTCATCGACAGTAGTAAGCAATACACAGAGCAAATCGAGCTTTGGTGCTGGCCGCTACGCCAGTGCCTTTCGAGAATGGAAATAGATAAATAAATAGAGAAGAAGGCAAAGGAAGGGAGAAAAGGTCACGCGCAAAGGACCGCGGACCTCGGTCATTTGGGGCTTAAGAATGTTCATTCGTGCCATGCAGCAGAATGTTGCGACTCGTACAATCCATGTTTGGCAAGCGAACAATAAAACAAAAGGTATCGTAAAACGCAAAAGATTGGTCGACGTTGGCCTGATTCGAACAGACGCTCCCGAAGGAACAAGATTTCTAGTCTTGCGCATTAGACCACTCTGCCACAACGCCGGATCATCCCTGTCGTGTGGGCAACTGGGAGTGGACATGCTCCATCCTGGTGATAGTCTTGCTCAAGGACCTTTGTCATATGGCGTATCACGAGCCACAGCAATGCACTCCATCATCGCACCCCATGCACCGTAGCATTCGCCGCGGACGAGCCCGACACCGCGAGCAAGCCGGGCCGTCCTGGCCTCGAGCGGACGTGGAACGGAGGTGGCCCTCGCGTACAAGTACATGGTACGTCGATGCAGCAATGCCACGACTGAAACGTCTTCCAGGATTGGGCCGGCGCTGTTCTGTGGAATTGGCCATCACGGGCACAAACCGCTCGGCGTTGAAGGTCAAGGGACGCTAGAGATGACGCTCAGGGTCCACGTAGAGTCCATCAGTAAGCGAGCGCTGGGCGCTGCCGTCATCGGGTCGTGACTGAGTTTGGCGGGATCGACACCCGCCGAGTCTGTTGTCGTTTCGTTTGCCGAGTCTGTTGTCGTTTCGTTTGTCTTTTTCTCTTCTTTTTCCCTTTTTCTTTTTTGTTCTCCTGGATTAAAGCCTATTCCTCCCAGTTGGACGAACCCCTCCCCTCCCTCTTCCCTACACCCATCTGATGTCGTGCTCGCGTCCAGGTGGGTGTCGACTAGTTCCAGCCTAAAGCTGTAGGGCTACTGCGACGGCTGACTCGACGACGACACGGTGAAGGAAACAAGGACAGAATCGACGACAACCCATCGCTGGTGTATAAGCCGCGTCATCCCCGTGAGGGGGGCGGGGTCGACGGCGTTGTTCAGCTCAGGCTCCGAAGGCAATACCGCCGCGACCCCCGGCCTGGCGCTGCCAACACCGGCTTGCGGAACAAAGGGAATGCTTGCTGTCCGGTCAACCCTCTCCAAAAGTTTCGGCATCTCCTCTCCCGTCTTCTCCCGTCTCTGCTGTTTCGAGTCGCGCTTGGCAGAGACGGGGGGTTTGCTTGCAAGTGCAGACGGATCGGACGCGAGTACCGAAGTCGCCTTTTCTCCCTCTTTTGTTTTCTTCTTTTTTTCCCCCCCTCCCCTGCTTGCTATCGCTTACTCAGTATGCTATCGATGAGAAGCTCTAGCCGAGGAGCGGGATGCGACACAGGGTCTGGGGAGGGTGATCTGCATGCCTTTGTGGAGATGTTCTGTTTTCTGCTTATAACCGATCTCTCCCCCCTCCCCCCCTGCCTCTTAGCTGACCGTCGTTAAGAGCGATCATATCTTGTCCGGCCCACTGCCGTTACTACACACACACACACACACACACACACACACACACACACACACACACACACACACACACACACACACATCACTCCGGACGACGCCAAATGACGGGACTCGTGGGCGTCGTTCGGTTTGGTAAAGGCTAAAGGGAGCAAGTTTTGCGCATCATGCGATGGTGGAACGCAAGTTGGGATGCAAAGCTGGGGAACGTCGGCGCTTGGGTCTGTGATGGGACCAGGAACGGGTCAAAAACAACAAAGGATTCGGACGAGACGACGAACTCTACCAGGACGTCAACACCGCACTCTGCCCGCCCAAGCGAACTTTACTCGCATCGCGGGCCTGCTGCTCAGGGAAGATCTTGGCCCTTTTGCGTTTCACACTAAAACACAAATCGTCACGGTGTACGCGTCGAAATCGGGAACATGTGATGGTGGGAGTTGGTCAAAAATACAGTTTATATAAACCAAGTATTGAACATGGGAAGAGAGGGGGAAAAAAAAGAAGAAGAAAAAAAGTATGAACTTTATACAAGAACATGAGTTATCCTGGGGGGGGGGGGGTTTTCCGCCCATGGTTCCTTGCCCATGGCGTGAAAACCTTTTTTTTCCTTTTGGGCACCTGTTTCCGGGTCGTCTCGTCTTCAAAGACGAGAGATAAAAAAGGTTGACCTGTATTCCTTCTCTCGGAAACTCTAAAATGAAGTTTAGATGCGCTGGCGGAGGGCCCGCTTTGCGGAGCGACGCTTGTTGCAGGACTGTATGGAGCAAGGTTAGCCGGTGTTCAACCATTATCAAGTGTTTCCGGGAGGGCGAGAGAGCTTCGGACGCTGGGGGGCGGAATAGGACTTACGCTGGGCTCATCAGAGGCGGCGGGGGTGGCGGGCTTGGTGGCGGCGGGGGCGGAGGAGGTCACGAGAGTGGTGGGCACGGCAGCAGAGGGCGCGGGAGCGGGAGAACCAGAGTCAGAGCCGGGGCCGGAGCCGGAGCCGGCGGAGGTGAAGTCGACGCAGGACATGTAGGTCTGGCCGGCCTCGCGGGAGTCCCACCACCACTGGAGGACGCAGTTTCCGGCGGTGGCGCAGGTGGCGGGCAGGGACTCGGGGAGGGTGACGCTGAAGGCGGTGTTGTTGGCGGCGACGCCGGTCTTGGTGCTGGCGTAGTTGGTGAAGGAGATGAGGGGCGAGCCGATGATGGAGTTCTTGGCCGTGTCGACGACGGAGACGTTGGCGACGCCGGTGTGGGGCGCGCGGATCTCGACCTTGAAGTCGATCTTCTCGCCGGGGGAGAAGCTCTGGACGTTGGCGGCGTTGTCGGCGAACTTGTAGCCCTTGCAGAGGTCGAGGTCGCACTTGGACGCGTCGAGGTTCTTGCCGGCCTGCTGGGCGAGGCCCTGGATGTTGCCAAAGGGGTCCGACTTCTCCGTGTTGAGGAGGGTGCTGCCGCAGGCCTCCTCGAAGGCCTGGCCGGCCACGCGGGGGGTGGGCGAGGTGACCTTGCCGTGGGCCGAGACGGCGGCGGCGAAGGAGAGGACGGCGAGAATCTTGGCCTGCATCTTGGACTTGATTTCGGGTTTCTTGTTCGAATGAATGGGAGGACCTGTGGGTGGTTGAATCGAGGTTTTTTGTTGACTAGCAAGTTATGTGTACGAAAAGAATGGCTTGTGGCTAGCACAGCGTGAAGAGAGCGTTGTGAATGAATGAAAGTGAATGCAAGTGTTCGAACGACGTTGGAATGGAACAAGGAGGTCAGAGGGGACGGCCGACATGTCGACGGCGGCACGGAGGACGCTCTTATACGGTTTCGCCGTGGTCAGCAACGTATATTTCTCGCCCCATCCCCATGCCGTCTCTTTGCATCGTAATTCCGTCCCATCTCGTCATCACTAGGTACTCCTCCTCCTCCTCCTCCTCTTTCTCCCTCCCTCCTTGCTGCAAAGTCTCGCATGCTGGGGCGGTGTCATGACGGGCCCAGTACGGGCTTAGGGTACGGACCCCCGGAGGCGTAATCTATGTAAGACGGCTTATCGCGGCCGAAGCTTTCGCTCCTCTACAAGCTTACAGGGGTTGTTCGCTGGTAGATGACGCCCGAGGGTCAGGCACAATACACCAAAGATGAAGGCTCCCGTCAGCCCTTCAAGGGCCACCGAGGCGCGTCCAAGAGACCGGGGGAGGGTGGAGGCCATCCACGCAGGCCGAGAACATGATGTGGCAGCCAACGGCCCCCGGTCCGCCTCCAGATCCAGGGAACGACAGCGATTGGGCGTCCGGCGAGCAGGGCACCCGCAACGGGCAACGGTCGTTGGGTGTTTAATTTGAGTGAGGCTCGGTGGGACACGCTGCTTGCTGTTGGATCCAGATCTTCTCGTCTTGGACTCTGTGGCCTCCTCCCCCCTCTCCCTTCACTAGACGCCTTTGTGGCATGACCCCTGCATCGCCATCATTGCTCCTGAACCGGGGTTTATCGCTGAAACGGCGCCACCACCACACATCTCTCAGGCGGCGGCCGCCCCCCCCCTCCCCCCACACCACTTTCATCCTCTTCCTCCCCCCTCTTGTTGATGTGCCTGGAGTATCAGTGTGTCGAGTTCAGAGATCCTTCCCGCCTCTAGTCGCCGCGGTTTGTTCTGGATCCCTCCATTATCATCATCCCATCTCGGTTCACCAGCTTGGTTGATCTTCAATGGGGCTTTGATGAGGACTATGCCCGTTCCGAGCAACTATGTAAGCGAGAAACAAAAGGTCGACCGGGAGAGTAGGGAAGATGCCTTTTCCCTCCCGGGAAATAAATAAATAAAACGGTGAGTCGACTATGCAGCCGTCCTGTTTCAAGAGCCTTCCTCCGAGGGGGGTTCGAATTCCACTGCTCATCATCGCAGGCCAGTGAATCCGGGCGCTTCTGCACTTCCCCTCCCTTACGGGTCGTGGCCTTTGCTGGCGGCCCTTGGCCCTTTTCTTTCAACCGTCGGCGGCCAAATCACGACAACCCAAAGGCTGGCTATGTCGGTCGTCTTTTACGCGCGCTATGTGGCCGGTCACCCACAAAGGACGTGCATCTGCCCGTCTAGTCCAAGCGCTCCATCTTGGATAGACAGAAAGAACTACGGATAGAGGAACTCTCAAATACCCCGGTGCAACTTGGATGCCAGTACGGATATGGCGACTCGGTGGCGGTCATGAAAAGAAAAAACCCCGTCTTGGATATCGCATCTCAGCTCGGCGTATCTCTTGTCATCAACCTCAGACCGGACTTCGCCCCAGTGGACCCCACGGCCTCTGCCTGATACGGCCTCCATTTCGCAGTGCTTCTCGGATTTTCACGTAGTCAAGTCTCGGATCACGTCCCCGAGGCTTGCATTCGCTCCGCCACTCTTCCAGATGTGAGTGCTAACATGACGTGGGAAAAGGGCCGTGGCAGCAGCAGCAGCATGCCTTTTGCCTTGTCGTTTATTCCTCTTGTTTTCTCTCTCCTTTTTTTCATTCTTCTCTTTTTTTTTTCCTTCTCTCTATCGCCCGGTTGTCAACTAAACACATTTGAGGATTCATCCCCGTGCCCACATCGTGGATCCCGCGCAGGGTCATGGGCGCTAAACCTCTAAACCTTGCGCCGCAGAGCGGGCCTGTGCCAGGCATCTCAGCCGTACGATTGGGCCCCGGTATAGTACTCAATTTCTGTCTTCAGGTGAGAAAGATGGGGAGAGGAGTCTTGGCGGCTCATGCGACGGAGGACGTAGGAGATGCTATGCACTCTTGGACGCTTGGGAGGTTCCTACTATGTAGACAAAGGGGTGAAAAGCTGCAGGGCAACACTGCCTGTCTCGTATTGCTGATATCACAGCAAAAAGGAGCAAGTTCGCTGCAAGCCGACACAAAGACCGATGGGCAGGCATGTGGACGAGCCGAGTCCGTGAGATGTTCTGCCTCTTCTCTTCTCCTTGCTTGGACGTGGGAGGACGAGCATTCGTGGATAGAACCCCCACTCGGGTTTCCAAGTGTGTTTTTAGTGTAATGCCTTGCTTCCGACGTTTCCACAAACCCCATCTCTTCTCTCCGATCCGATAGATTAGCAGCCACCGTGATTGGCTTGGGACAGCGGTTCCCACCGTCACTGGGAATTCCGCTGCGTCTGGAATTGAGTACGCCTGCATACTGAGTAGAAACCTAGACAGACCTACGGATGCAGTGTACGCCATCCCAGCCGCAGGTACCATACGCAGTGCGCCTTCTCATCAAAATGCCGCGTGGCCCATGGAACCGCTCGAGGGCAACGTATTGTTCAGAAAATCATACACGATTGAATGTGGTGTAATTTCTTGGCTACACGCGCAATCGATGGCCGTGGCCCTTGGATATGGATTCGCGAGTGGGACGTCCCATCAATCCCTAATGCGTTGCGGAAGAGTGTCGTCTCCCGTCTGACAAGTCCGGCAAGCTTTGCTGGAAACGGTCGGCTCGCTGCCGGCTCCGGCTGAGAAACACCGGCAGGCCGAAGCTTGTATATAAACCCGGACATATCCCCGGTCCGGGTGGAGCAGTTCAAGCCCGACAAGCCCCACCCCGCCAGAGTTGTAGCCCGTCGCTTTTCCCAAGGCGCAGATGACCGTCTTCGGGAGATGCAACTGGCATCCTCCTCTTGTCAAGCATTCAACAAGGTTGATGAAATGAAACATCATACGATGATTGAGCCCGTTCCCGGCTGGACGAGGCCTCTATGTCTTCAAGCCAGCGCTGACTTTTCAGCCATGTGCGCCGTGGCTTGCCAGAAATACTCCGGAGCCGGCGTCAGTGCCTTTCACTCGAGCGATGCCATATGTTTGTTGGGGAAGTGATTGGACGTTGCGATTCCAGGTAATAGCGACCTTCACCGTGACGGCCTTCATCACCCTCTGCCTGGCCACCTTCTGCCTCGTCAGAGGGCGTACCAACGAGGCGCGTCAATCCTTCAACCCGGTAGACCGGTTCGCCATAAAACACGTTTCCGAGCCAACGCGCCGTCTCATGTTTCGCCTCGGCATGAACCCCGACCTGCAGTCCCTCGTTGCCTCCATCGGCGAGATACCTCGTCAACACCTTCAGCGAACTCCAGCTTGTGACCGGCCTGGCCGTGCTCGTTGGCGGGATCAAAGATGTCGCCGATGGCAGCATATCGACGTACCACTTCCTGATCGTCACCGACCTTGCGTGGTTCTGCACCCTCGCCCATCTGCTCTCGCTCGCTGTCACCCGCAGCATGCGCGACAGCGTGAAGCGGACGCATCCCCGGAGGTACCACCACGAGAACACCGAGCTGGCGGCCCGCCTCGCTCGTGCGTTGCGCATCTGCTTCATGGCCGCCACGTTTTTGCTGTTGATCTACGCCTTCTGGGTCGCCGGGTACGAGGAAATCTACCACCCTGGCCAGTACAGGTGCCCCATGAAGTGCGTGGTCGATAAGCCGAAAGGGCGGGTACCCGTGGAGGATGATGGTCATCAACATGGCCCTGATGTCTCACAGCTACGTGGTTCAGATGTTCCTTAGTTGGCGCACCGGGCGTCTCTTTTGGATGGACCACATTAGAGGCTACCTCATCAACAACAAGGGCGGCCAGCCGGTCAACGTGTTGAGTCCCGAGGCCGTTTTCAAGCGGTGGACCGAGAACAAGCTATGGAAGGGACTGAAGATGTGTCTCTTGGCCGTTTGGTATTTCCTTGCCTCCGAGGTCGAGACGCTGCTGAGGCTGACCGTGTACTTTGGGTTTGGCGTGTTCTCGCTTATGGACGATGGCGCGCGGGGGGCACGAGGCAATGAAGGGAGAGGTACACCTCGAGGAGAACGACATGGTCTTCAGCCAGCTGGTGCCGATATCCCTGTTAATCATTCCATTCATGGGGCTCTTTGAGTCCTACGCGAGGCATTCCAAGGCACTCAGGGAGCAGCCCGACGCCAAGGTTCTGGACAGCTGCACCTCGGAAGGACCCTAAGACCGGCGGGGAAACGTGTAGGGAAAACGAGCAAAAGCGCGACTGGAATCGATGCATGAGGCAGGATTACGTAGCGAGCCACAACCCATAATGATGACGATGCCGAGGCAGGGAGGTTTTCACTGCATAGTATACCACGAAGTGCAGCAAGCTGCTCAAGCCGAAGATCGGATTGCTTTTATGGGGGCAGTGGGCGCGAGGAAGAATTGTCACAGCTCACGGTCAAAGCAACTTGGCGATGATCATGGCGCGCCATCCGCTTTTAGAGTTGATGAGCACATTACGGATACTTGGCAGCTGCTTCGCCTCTGCTAGCACGCCGAGCGGAAGAGTACTCCAAAGGCCTCCCTCCCACCATTCGTTGAGGAGCGTAACAATACGTGGAAATCCCCAGCTCATCAAGGCCCATGGACACTGGTCCGGCGGAAGCCAGCATATATAGGTACGTTCGACAAAATGCACCGGCCGCAGTGCACGCAACCATCCGTCCGTCACTCCGGGCCGAAGTGGCACGGGAGGGAGGGGATGGGGCTGCCTGGATTGCCCAACACAACCACGGATGTCTCGTTCCCCGGCCTTGCGCATGCCAATGGCATAAAAGCCACAAGTTCTTAGTGTTTTGGCCTTTTTTTCCCCCCTCTCTCTTTCTCTTTAATGCCAAGTCCATTCTCGCCTTTCCTGAGCGCGCCCGGCACGGCGGTGGCTGTGCGAGGCGCGCGTTCTGTAGGTCCCGGCACGAGGGGAAAGATGACCAAAGGGGCGGCGCGAATAGATAGATGTCTGGTAGAGATACGGGTTTCCCCTTCTTAGTCCATCTTCGCATTTAGTTTGTATGGGGCATACTGCTTTCTCTGCGAGGCTTTTTTTCTTTTGGGATACCTCGAGGAAGCCGTCTTACTGTACCCGGGCGTGCATGCAGATCGGAGATGGCCCATGACAGGAGAAGCCGCATACCTCAGCCGGCGAATCCGAACGAGAGGAGGCATCAGCGCATTCCTAAGCCACACGGTGACTGAATCATTATGCTGGTATAAGACGAGGACGTCTTCCCACGGGAGGCAACTCGAATATCAGACGGCTGCAGGCCGTGCTTTCACTCTATAACATCGTCATCACGCCGCATCACCATCCCGCCTGGACTCAACCAAAAGGCTTTTCCGCCAGTATATCAACCCCCCCCCCCCCCCCCGGTGCCACGACACCTCTCTCTCCCTCTCCCCGCTAGGTCCTTAGCCAACTTCAAACATCATACTCACAAACATGCGTCCTTCCACCCTTGTACTCGCGGTCCTTACCGCAACAACCAACGCTGTCCAGGCGCCCAACCGCGCCAGCGAGGCCCGCGCCGCCGCCGAGGCCGCCGTCTTGGAACGCCGTGACCTCAACGCCTGCAACTCGGTGGCGACGTCCCTCCTCCCTAGGATCACCGACGGCGCCCCCACCGTGCCCGTCGACGTGGCCGCCTACCTCGCCCTCTCGGCGACCATCACCGACCCGTGCGTCGACCCGACCATCACGGGCTCCATCGGCTCCGCCTACTCGACGTACGCCTCGTCGTACACCTCCTGGCGCAACGACCACCTCTCGGACTTCCGCGCCGTGTGGCAGGCCTGCAGCGACGTGCCGGGCGTCACCGACCTCATCTTGCCGACGGGGACGGGACAGTGCAGTTCCCTCGTCGCACAGATCACGAGCGCCGGGCCGACGCCTGAGCAATAACGGTCAGAAACAATTATAGCCGTCAACAACACAGACTTCTTGATGTACTGGAACGCGTCGCGTCATGTGTTCGTCAGCCCTACACTCTTGCAAACCATAGGTAAGCAAGGCCGTCTGGTCCACCCGGCCTTAGTACACCGTTACGCAAATGCATGCGCGTACTGCATCCCAAAACGCCGCCAGCACGGGACGCCAGCAAGCAGCATTCACTCGCGGGAAAACGGGTATTACAATCAGAGTCTTCAACTGGGTTCTTTCATATGTCGGGTATGACATGCTTGGAAAGGGTAATAATGATTATGACCTTGGGGGTACGGGTTTCACGGTGTTTTTCGAGAGGCTAGCGTCAGATGAGATAAATACCTCTTGAGGAGGATTGCAGTGCGATCTGAAGTCGTCTGTCAAGACTCCGAATGCGCCAGTTCCTCGTGGTATCTCTGTACTCCGTCCACGACATGTCTTTCAAACAGTCGATATTATCATTACATATCGTCCAAAACTACCTACAAGAATCTTCACCCCCTCAAAATAAAATGAAAACCTCCGTCATTGCAAGATGGCGAAGTTCCAGTTGGCCACCGCCGGATGTGGCTTCATCAGACCCCTCTTGAGCCAGCACCGCAGCTGGGCCTCCCCGTCGACCATGACGTTGCCCCACGAGACGCCGGTGCACTGGGCGGCCTTCGCGCACGCTTCCATGCACTCGCCCATGCTGACCGCCGCGACGTTGAACATGTCTATGGCCCCGTCGCTGCCCGAGTAGTCCACCCCGCAGACCCGGAGGAACTTCTTGTCGGAACCGATCACGTGGTAGATGGTGTTGTCGGCCTCTGGGCAGATGGAGTTGGGGCCGGAAGTCGCCGTGGGGGACGCCGTCGTCGTGGTCGAGCTGGTTGTCGACGTCACCAGCGTAGTAGTCGCGGCCGTCGACGAAGCTGTTTCCGATGGCGCCGAGCCCCTGGTTATCGATGAACTTGTCACCGTCGGAACGATCAGCGGCTTCGTCGGAGACGGCACCGTCGTCGCTGTAGTAGTTGGTGAGGGACTGGGGTTGGTTTGCTTGTTAGTCGAGGCACACGCGGAACTCGATGGAAGATGATTCAGAAACGAACCTCGTCGTTACGGAATTCTCATCCGACTTGCTGGCATTCTTCCCAGCACCCGCGTTTAAGCCCACTCCGACACCGATGCCGACCCCGAGGGCGATCAGGACGATGAGCCCGATGAGCAGCCAAAACGCCCCCCGCCTGAGCCCGCAACACCCGGGCTGTCTCCCGGGCTCGCTCTCGTCGTGATCGAACACGCTCTGCCGGTAGGCTAGCGACCGCGACACGGAGGCCTTCTCGCCGTCGGGCGGCGGCGTGCCCTCCCGGTAGAATGTGAACTCTTCGTGGTTCATGGGCGTCGGGTCGTCGCCGGCCCAGTAGACGCTGGGGATCGAGGCCTTGCCGAAGATGGACCCCTTGCCGCTGCGGACGGTGGGCGCTTTGCGCAGCGACGGCACGGCGCGCTTGGCCCGGATGTCCCTGGGCACGATCGGGTCCGGCTCGTCCGGCAGGCGAGGGCGGTCGTTCATCATCTCTGTCGTCGAGCGGTCGGACATCGAGTTTCGCCTCCCCCCCCCCTTCACAGTTCCCCCTGCCTGGGCTGCGAAACCAAACTTGAAAGGATGGCGGGCGGCAAGATCCTCGAAAGTCTGGTTCGCTTGCGTCGTGTCTGAGCTTTTTTCCCCTCTGTGTTACGCGTGCACATCCGGCACATTCATCTCAGTCTAGCCGGGACGCGAGAGAGAGAGAGAGAGAGAGAGAGAGAGAAAAGAATGTTCGCAGAGCCGAGTCGATTTCCTAGGTATAATGAAACGAGCGTGTTGTATTTTGTTCCTCCGTCTTCACCCCCTCCCTTGCTGCTTTTCTACCTCTTCTTCGAGGTCTCTTTCTTGAAACGAGTGTACTGTGATTCAAAAGGACTGAATGGGCGCGTCCCGGAGCGCAGATGGGCTGCGCTGCGGCGATGGAAACTGGGCCAGCTTCGCCGTGTTCCCGATTCCCTGTCACGTCAAGTAGGGCCAACGGCGGAAACGAGTGACGCCGGTTGGATGGGTATGGTTGAACGCAGGATGGAACAAACTAAGCGAACGAACGAATGAATGAATGAAGGAAATTGAACAAAGGTAATTCAATGTAAAGGGAGAAAGAGGGAGGAAAGGCGAGGAAGAAACGAAAAGTGGACAAGGACGGACAGCTTCAACTACCTATCACACGAACCCATGATCCCTTCAAAGATAGAGGCTCCTCTTCCCCTACTCCCCTACCCTGGGCGTCTCCATCAATAAGAGCCTATATAGAGTCCCCCAAAGTGGTGTTACCCCTGTTGTGATAATTTCCCGGACCTGGGGGATGGTGTGACGGGCGTTGGAACTAACCCGCTTTGGCACGTCCAAGCAGCTCGCCCCATGGAACGGCAACATTGCGCGCAGGGATCATCTTGGTATTCTGATAGATCATCGGGGGTCGCCACGATGGTCCAGGTGAGGTATCTGCATGGTATTGTATTGCTTTCTGACAGTTGAAGCGGTTATCGGCAAAACACAAGTCCAAATAGTCCGAAGACGCCAAGATGATGTTCAAGAAAGATGGGCTTGGTCGGCAGCTGGAACATGCATGCATGGAGGAAACCGACGAGCTGTTGGTTTGCCACATGTATGGGAAACAACACATTCTTTTGGCTCACTCATTCTCCCGCGGAATGTAGGCCAAAAGAGCCGATGAAGAGCACGCTTGGCGGACTTGTTCTTCCCCAACGGGAATAAGGCCACCCATCGAACAGGCATCCCTATCGCCTCCCCCCCCCCCCGAAAGCAGAAACCGAAGAGATAACCAAAGGCTAGCATGCTACGTGCGTCAGCCACCGGGCCTGCAGAATAGACCTTACCATTAGCGTACTGGCTCGACGCCAAGGAGTCCTCGGCGTGGGCGCCGGAGGTTTTGTCCTTTGCGCCTCTCTCTCTGTGCGGGTGTCTTGCCCTACGGAAGCGTAGGTAGAGCAATTCATCATTTTGCCAAGCACTCTCACTCTCTTTCTCACTTACTTACTCACTCTCTCACTTACTCACTCTCATAATCAACCCCTCACCCACCCCCCTTGAAGGCTTGTGGTGGCCAGTGCTTGAGTGTATCGGCGCACAAAGATCATCGATGAGCACACCCTTTCCTTTTTCTCATCCGAAGACGCGTTCCGTGCATGGAGCTGTTGAACACCACACCCGGTCCGCGTGGCTTTCGGCGCGCTTTTGCCTCGCTTCGATCGCTTCCGCTCTCACCTAGCAGATGCACTGCACTCGGAAAAGTCGGGTGGCGCGAACCCGAGTGGCCCCCCATTGAGTCTAGATGCTTCAGTCATATTACGTCGTTTGATACTGCGGCAGGGTAAGGTGAGAATAGACCGAGGCAGGGAGCAAAGGAGAAGCAACGGAAGAAGAGGAACTGCCGGGCATTGGAGGGGGGAGTCTTGTTTACTGGATGATGGTTGCTGGCTTGTGCGGAGGGTAAACTGGCTAGACCAGCCCAGTTCGCGACTCATGAAGGGGCCGTTCGTCTCGATTTTCATCCCAACGATGCCCCTGCGAGCTGCCCAACCTTCAAGATGTGCCATGGAAAAACCAGGGCACGGTGGAAAAACCTGTCTTTTGGCTTCCAGAACATCACAAACAGCAACAACAGCCGCATCTTGACGCCCAACAATCAAACTCCCACGCCCGAAGCAGCATGTTCGCAGCCAACGCCCCTGTCCAAGTCCCCCGGCCGCCTCTACGGAAAGAATTCCCCGAAGCCATGGAATGCCACTTAGATTCTTCTACGGTCCGCGCTCAGAAAGCCTGAGCGTTTTCGGTGCCCAGTTGCTCTCAATGCCTCTCTGTCTCTCCCCCTGACGCCGAGGGTAAACAAGGCCTCCTCCCATTGCAACGGGAAATGAGAGAAATGCCAAACCGGTTCTGCCCTGCCCAATACCCCTGTGAAGGTCTCTCTTCTTTCCCTTTCTCTCATCTCCTCTCCCGCCATCTGTTCCAGGGCGATCGTTGTAAGTCGGGCATGAGGTGGTGTGGATCGTCTCCACGGGTGGCCCGGCATTCCGCCCATCGGGCACCAACTGGGAGGACGCTCCCTTCCATGAGCTCGGCAACAGTCGAACTCTCACTGGAAGCTTTCTTTTAACATGCACCTCGTCCCGTTGCGGATGCACGCTGCATGATTCCCGCAAGACCTTTCCTTGTCCTTCTCTATACCTAGTCTTAAGAGCTTCCCCCCCCCCCCCCCCCCCCCCATTGGGCTCTTATTTGTTCCTTCAAAGCCTGTCCTTGCCGTCTCCTATTATCTGGTACAAGGCCAGATTAGATAGAGATTGAAGTCATCGTCGTCTGTCTCACCCGCACTGCAACGGAGTCTGTGGGTACACGCTAGAGAGTGTGCAGTATCGGCCCGCCATTGCAACCATGTCCCACCGTCCTCCCACGTCGAACCCGGCGCGGAGCTCGCGGCCCCAACCGGTCACGAAATCCGGCTCAGTACCAAAGGCCACCTCCGACACATTGGCGGCACCAAAGCCTGTCCGTCCTATCTCGGCAACACTCCAGCCCCCGACGGCCCAGTGGACGGGAAATCCCAGCCCATCTTCTTACACCAGCTTCAACGTTCCTCCTCCTGGGAGCCCGGCACCGAACGCCAACGGCCCATCGGCGCCCCCGAAAATGCCGGCCTCCTCGCCCGGTTCTTCCGCCGCCGACCGTCTGTCCCAACTCCGTAGCCCGGGACCCGGCGCCATCACCAGCTTTCCTCCTCCCCCGCCAACGCCGCCCCAGAGAGAAGCAACATGCCAGTTGCCCAAGGGGACCGCACAACCGCCGAAGAAGACATCTACTTCAGCGACTAACACCGCCGCCCGGGCTCAGGCTAGTGTCGCCAACGGTGTCTGGACGCCTCCGGAGAACGCGACGAGCCCCGTGGAAGCAGCCGCCGGGGCCAAGCAGCGGCCTGGGGTCATCGACTTGGACAACCTAGAAGAAACCCTCCAGAACCTGCGTTTCGCACCCTCCCCGATGCTGTCCACCATCTACTCCGTGCCGTCGACCCCCGGCGATGAAATTTCCACCCCTGACTTCCCCACCAGCCACAGGTCGTCCTGCTTTACGCCCCCATCCGCCAACCCTACCCCGGAACCCATCACGCCGGTGGACGCGACCCCACGAGGGCCTCTGCCGATGATCAAGGAACCCATCATGTCGCCCACCAGGCCGCGCGCCAACTCCCGTAGAGCCAGCCCGCCCAGCAGGAAGCGTGGACGCGGCGTGGTCGCCTGCATCAACAGCCCCGCCACCTTCTGCACGACGTGGTACACCCACCCGACCGCCCCGGACTTTCCCATCTGCTCGAGATGCTACGAGGACTACCTCGTCGGCACCCGTTTCGAGCACGATTTCCGAGGCAAGGTATGCGACGACAACAAGCCCCGCGTATGCCGCTTCAGCAAGCCCCGGATCAGAGACCACATCCTCCGAAACACCCTCGCCACCGGGCGGATCGAGGACCTCGTCAGCTTCCTCGGCCACAGGAGCACCATCCCCGACTGCAGAGGGCTCGACGGCGTCATGGGGGGCCAGGGGGCCAAGTGGTTCCGCCCCAAGAACAACGCCGTCCCGAACATGGTAGTCTGCCAGGCGTGCTTCGAAGACCACATCCAGCCCTACCGCTTCGCCGCAAACTTTGAGCCGGCCTCCGGCCAGGCGCCCACCGACGTGTGGTCGTGCGACCTGTCCACCCCGTACATTCAGAAAGTCTACAAGACCGCCGCGGCCGAGAACGACTGGGCCGGCTTCACCAAGGAGGCCGTCGCCCGCATGACCATGCCCGCCTGCGCCAAGCGGCAGAAGGTCACCGTCGGCTCCCGCAGGTGGTTCACACCGGCCGCCACCGCCGCCGGCGGCGTCCTCATCTGCGCGGCCTGCTACCACGACCACATCGTCGGCTCCGGCGAGGAGCGCAACTGGCGCGACGCCGGCCGCGACAACCTCGCCTCCCGGTACGGCAGCCTGGTCTATTGTATGCTGGGGCACTTCAACGTCGGCGTCGCCATGTCGCGCGCCGCCGAGACCGGCGAGTTCTCCGTCTTCTGGGGCGCCCTCGACGCGGCGTGCAACGAGGACTTCTGCAGCCCGCAGGGGATCAAGGACGGGAAGTGGTACACCTTCCCGTCCCACCCCGAGGAGTTTAGCATCTGCGCCTCGTGCGTGGCCACCATCGCCGAGCCCCTCGGCCTCTCGTCCTCCCTCGTCACCAAGTGCGGCGTGTCCCCCGGCACCACCATCCTCTGCTCCTTCAACCCCGCGAGCCCGCGCTTCGCCTCGTACATGGGCAAGCTCCTCGAGGGCTTCTTCACCGCCGACACGCAGCCCCTCGAGTCCTACGCGCTCGAGTTCGCCAGCCTGCCCCTCTGCCCCCGCGACGAGGATTTCCAGAACCGGCGGTGGTACGGATGGAAGGACTGCGCCGTCTGCCCGTCCTGCTACCACGAGTTCGTCCGCGGCACCGCCCTCGCCGCCTCCATGCCCTTGAAGGGCGACATGGTCCCCTCGAGCCTCATGTGCGAGATGTACAGCCCGCGCATGCGCGGCCTCTACGCCGACGCCTGCGCGCGGTCCCCGCCCGACCCGTCGGAGCTCCTCAAGGCGTGCAAGGCTCGCCGTGCCGTGTACGCCGAGACCGTCCCCGCCATCAGGGAGATGATCATGGAGGCGCAGGCGGCGCTGGGCCAGCAACGGATGCTGAGCACGATGGGATCGGCGAACGGCGGCGGGGCCATGGGACAGATCCAGGACGTCGCCAGGCAGAACGCCGCCGCGTGCGGCATGCCGGCAGTCGGGTTCGGCTTCTCCAACCACTTTGAGATGCAAGGCGCCTCGTATGGGAAGCAGGCGAACTCGATCCTGGCCGAGTCTGGGACGCGGGCGCTCGTCATCAAACAGTTGGAGAGGAAGTGGAGGGAAGTAGAATAAACGGGGCGGGCTGAGCTGGAGTTGGAGGGAAAAAAGGAAGTCTTTTTTTCAAGTTTTCTTAACAAAAAAGTGTATTCCCTTTGTTTTGTTTTGTTTTGTTCTTCTAAAAAGAGAGATACCATTTGAAATTCAGAAACATCATCCAAACCCTGCGCTCCATCTCAAGTCATGGCCTGTTTCGGCCTTGGTGAGGTTTTGCTGTTGAGACGGTCCGTCTATCTCAGTTTCGGGTAAGCGCCGAGCGCGGCCTGGCCTCCGGTATGGCAAAACAGAACATTCTTGCCGGCGAAGCCGCCGTCCCTCGCCGTGTGCAGCAGCCCCGCGAACGCTTTGCCCGTGTAGACGGGGTCGGTGAGGATGCCCTCCGTGCGCGCCAGCTCCTTGATGCCGCCCGCCGTGCGCTCGTCGAGGCGCCCGTACGAGCCGCCGAGGAACGAGCAGTCCACTTCGAAGTCGTCGCGCGTCAGCTCGTCCGGGCCGAGCCCGATGTGCGAGCCCGCGGTCCTCGCGATGCCCAAGACCAGGCCGGCGACGTCGTCCTCCGACGGCTTCTGTATCGAGTACCCGATCAGCCGTTTCTCGGAGCCCTTCAGACCCATCTTCTGCGCAAGCTTGAACCCGGCCACCATGCCGCCCAGGGTCGAGCCGGACCCGAGAGCCACGGTGATGACGTCGAAAGACGTCCCGAGCTCGGCCTCTTGCTCCAGCAGTTCGAAGGCCCATCGGGCGTAACCCAGGCCGCCGAGAGGGTGGGTGCTGGCCCCGGATGGGATGTGGTACGGCTTGCTTCCCCGTTCCTTGAGGGTTGAAATCACATCGTCCTCGCCTGTACCGACGGGGAAAGTCTCGGCCCCCAGGATCTCGTTGAGCTGGATGTTGCCCGCGTACTTGTACTCGGCATCGCCCGATGTCACAGCGTCACGGGGGTACAACACAACCTGGTCCCTCTCTCTCAGCAGACGTACCGCTGAATCCAAACGCCCTCCCCTATTAGGACTTGCGAGCTCACCTTGAGTCCGAGCCGCGCCGCAGCTGCGGAGGTCTGGCGCATGTGATTTGACTGGGTGCCCCCGGTGGTCACCAGAGTGTCCGCCCCTTGCTCGATGGCGTCGGCCAAGACGTACTCCAACTTGCGAACTTTGTTTCCCCCAAACGACAGTCCGGAATTGCAGTCCTCGCGCGCAATCCATACCGATGTCCCGTTGCCTAGCTCCTTGGTCAGCCGCGAGAGCGCTTCAATGTCTGCCGGGCGGTTGTAGAGCAACTGGACGCGCGGAATCTCGCTGAAGGGATGTGGCAGGTTGACCATTTTCACTGCTCGGCAAGACAGCCTTCCAGAACGCCTGGCAGATAATAGTGGTTTCCGAGAAGTGCCGCCGTCTGAGATATTGGAACGTGTGATGGAGGAAAAGTGGCGATAGATCAAATTGTTTCTGTCCAATGTAAGCGGAACCCCGCTTCCGGGCCCCCTCTCAACGCAATCGGCTATGACGTGTGAAGTAAGCCGGCATTCAACGATGTTTCGAGCGAGGTCGGACAGCTTGCGCGTTGCCCGTGACCCTTAGCTAGTAATAGAACATTGCGATCTTCTACAACCAAACTTGTACTCCAAAACGCCGAGGCGAGAGGTGCAGCTTGAAGCATGGCTCTGTCAATCAAACGTGGGTTACATTGCACGTTGAGACTGTGACTGCGCAACCTGTTGAAGGCTTCATCGATTGCAAGGAAACGAGACCACCGCGGGTAAACTGAATACTCAAGGTACTTGAAGACTGTATTGAACCCCTTCTCCAAGGCTGCATCGCCTTAAAACTCATAAATATTTCCTGAAGCGACTGTCAATGCTAAGGTATATGTCCCACAGCGCCTGCCGGTGCGAAAACTGAAACCCAAATTGATATCTCGTCCATTCATATGCCAAAAGAAGAAAAAGAAATCGTACGCTACGATCATCCATGAGTAATGGAAGAAAAGCCAACAACGCCCCCCCCCTCCCCCCCCCCCCCCCCCCCTTGTTCTTTCTTCTTACAAAAAGAGAGCACCGACGGCAGCGGCGCCGATCAGGCCGAGCCCCTGGGGAGAGACGACGCCCGCGGCATTCGGGGTCTGAGTGGGCTGGCTGTTGCCGTTGGTGGGGCTGCCGCCGTTGTTGTTGCCGGAGCCGGAGCCGGAGCCGGAGGACTGGGTAGGAGAGGCTCCGCCGCCGACGCCGGAGCCCGGGGCGATGGTGGTGGTCAGTTGTGCCGAGTTGGTGGGGCGGACGGCGGAGACGGACGGCGTGGTGGAGGCGTAGGACGCGGTGGCGGCGTAGGAGGTGCTGGCGAAGCCGCACGTCCTCAGGATGTCGTTGATGTCTAGTATTGAGAGAATCAGTAACTGGGAGGGGGCATTTCCGAAGTGGGTAGAGATGCTCACCGTCAAGGTCGTCGCGGTCTCGGACGTTCTGTTCCATGCAGCTGGCGCACAGGGCAGCGTACTGCGAGACGTTGATGCTGTTGTTGGTGCAGAAGCACTGTGCCTCGAGACGGTCCTCTGTGAGGTCGTCTCTGACCAGGTCATCGTCGACCTCGCAGGCCTGGCCAAGGTCGTAGATGGGCCGGCAGACGGCGCCGCACTGGGCGGGGATGTCGTCGTTGTCGAGCTGGAGGTCTGCCTGGACGTAGGCAGCGGCGGCAGCGAGGGAGAGAGCGAGGCGGGTGAAGTGCATTTTGGCGGTTGACTCGTGTATTGTTATGGTTTTATGGAGTATTCAGGTGGGAAAGGGAATTGGTTGTTTGAGCAGGCGTGCTGTTGTAGTGCTTTGGTGGCTGATGAGATTGGAGTGACGAGGACCGGGAATCGATAAAACATGGGCGGGATGATGCACGATATATATAATCACGTTCCAAGACAGCTCTGTTCCTGGGGAGATGCAGAAACGTTTGTTTGCCGGCCGGCACTAACGACAAGACCAACGACAAGACCCCGGAAAGAAACCCACCGCAATGTACTCGGTACAATCTTACAGCAATGTCTGGGACATGCGCCGCGCATCGTCACTTGGGGGCTTGGGGCTTGGATGGACGCTTGGCGCTGGGCAAGTCAGAGTCTCCATCTTGCGCGGCCTCCCAGTCATATTGCAGCTATCCAAAAGTGGGTTTCGATGAAGGAAGCCAAGAACCCCCTCGCAGCCCCAGCCTCAACCAGCGACTCAAGGCCCCCGGTAGTTTCGTTTTGTGCCATTGAAAGGGCCCAATTGGTGGTGTAGGTGGCATTTGAGGCTTCCTTTCGTCTCCCTCGGAGCCAGCCAGAATGTCTTCGTCTTGTCCACACTCGTCTGGCCCCGGGGTCTCCAGGAAAGCTTAATACGATACATCTGGGGGCCCCTTGTATCGGTATCCCCTTTGAGGACAAGCGTCGCGTGCCACAGACAGAGAGCAGCATAACTACGGATATGACCGCCCTCAACACGTCGGTACGAGTTCTTGGCAGTGAAAGTACTCCGTAATGGCCAAACCAACGCCGGGACGATGTCCGGGGCACGACACCAACGCCGCACGCATGAGGCGCCGAGAGTCACCCGCAAGGAACGGGGAGGCTGCATGCCAATCACGGAGATACTTGGGCCTAGGTAAGTGTCTCGAAAATCACCGTCCATCCAACCAGTCACGGAAGCTTGGTGCTGAACCGGGGGGGGGGGGGGGGGGTCCCCCCCATCTTCGATCTTCTTCCGCCGGCTCTGCCAGTCCAGACATGATGGTTTTGAACTATTATTTTGGGCGCCCATCACTTGAGATGACAACCATTCGCCGCCGGCATATCCCCGCCAAGAGGAGCAGAGCCACGGGGACGCGCATGCCCCTTGCCAGCTCGGCAACAACCAAGCAAACAGAACAAGCCGACGTACAGGAGCTGCATCACCGGCTCGACTGCTCTGTTTCCCTGCTTTCCATCCGTCCATGTCTCAGATGAAGGTCGAAAAAAGGGCACTAGCTTGCCTGCCCAACAGCCGATGACGCTGCTGAGGATGATCGACACCACGTCCTTCCAACGGCCAGTGAGATGTTTTTCCACTCGTCTTGTCAAACCCGTCGGTCTTCGTCAAGTCCACGCAATCCTCGGCGTGTTATGATTGTGGAGGGGGCGGAGAAGCGCTGCAGCGATTTGTTTTCTTCTCTTCTCATTCGACTCATTCGCTCGCCCATCCACACTCCAGGCAAAAGATAGTCATTGAACCTGCGTCCCTGGGCCAGCTGAGGAGGTGCGGGTATGTGATGCTAATTTTAGACACCTCGCGATGCAAGTGTGTCTTGGCACCCCCCCAATCTCATTTTCTTCTGCGCCCAGCAACAAAGGTCAAGCTCCACTGGCAGAAGAAGAAAAGAAAAAGAAAAAAGAGCTCGAGTAGGTACCTAATTGAGCTCTCCAGTAAACCGTTCATAGCCCCCGTGCCCCCCTCCCCGCATGACCCTCAATGGACATCTAGAACTCCATCCTCTCTTCCGAAGCAAAAAACATGTTCGCTACGACTTTCCCCGAGCCTGCTCGATGTTCCCTCTGCCGATCTCTCTCCAACGGTCCACGCAGCGCCAAGCTGTCGTTGAAGCTTCGCCTCGATCTTAGCAGCATCGACATACGTAAACATACCTAAAAAAAAACGTATTAATAGAGTCCAAGTGAATAGTCGAAAGAGCTCACCCGACGAGACAGACTGTCGGATGCTGATCTCTGGATGGACAAGCCCCTCCCCCCCCGCAGATTCGAGCGGTGAGTGGCCGCGGTCTGGTGATTGTCGCAAACTCGGCAGCCTTTGCTCAAAGGCTCGGGGTCGCGATGAGCCCTTGCAACGTCATCTTTGCAGTTCCCTTCCGACCAATCACGCATCCATGTGTGCTTCCGAGACGACAACGCCCTAATCACGGGACAGACGATGACGGGTGATTGCGAACGAAAGTGACGCTGCTGGTCTTGGTTCAGTCTGTTCGGTAACGAAGCGGATAATGACGGCAGCATGTGCTCTTCTATGGCCTGGTCGGTGTACCTCAGCATCGACGGCAGCTCGTAACTCGGTCCCGAAAGGCTCGCACGGCGCGAATGCTGTTGATTCTTCGGCACTAACGAGAAAAGGGGACAATGCAACTAGTGGTCACCACATCTCTTTGATCACCTAACGCTGTTGGCAAAGATTAGCTGGCAGTCAGTTATCGTAATGGCTTATGGGGTTTGGCCGTATATCTGGCATAATTAAAATGCTCGTCGAGGAATCCATAGCGGTATACCATTGTCGCCTCGGGCGAGACCATCCCATTTCTTACTTGAGGTATGCTCAAACCCGATGGGAACCAGACGAAGCCTTTCGGGAGATTTGTTGTCGTTTTCGCAGAGATTGTGCTTTTATAGATTACCTTGGACTACACAAGAAGCCATTAGGTTGGCCAGGACACCGGTCTTGAATTTCGAGCTATGTCTCGGAATGACCCATATAGTCCAGCAGGTGTCACAGTCTAAATGACTTTGGGAGTGTGAAAGAAGATCTTTGCTGGCAATCGTCCAGCTTAATATCCCGGGATGCTACATTCTTTTGAGAGAAGTGAAGCAATGATACGCAGCTCACTTATCATCGTCCCTGACCTAAACCTCGAAGCAGGTGGCCACAGGAAACGATGCATGAAATGGCCTATCAGGATATCGTATTGATATACCGCTGGGTTCTCGGTTACTGTGCAGAACAGCGACGCAAAGAAATAGTCAAGGCTGTAGGAAATACCAGTCAATCGTTGCCCAGCCTTTGAGTCTTTAGGCCAACTCGTAGTCGGAGTGGGATGTAAGCAGTAAAGTGATTGATACACCAAGGTTTGTACCTAGACCTCTCTTGCCCGCCAAGCAAACCCGATCATCGCCAAGTATGTCCTAGCAGTCGACCAAGGGATTCTGTTCCACGTCTGAAACGAACGGGGTCTGGAGGACCATAGTCGTGGCTTCTTTCTGCGGCAAACTGATTGCCGTCAAACTCTCGCCCGCCCCCCGCTTCAAACCCCCACGCCTCCTCACGTGAGCAGGAGGCAATGCAGCTAGCAGCAGAGCCAGGGTCTATGTAGGCCCGAAATTGAGCGCGTACCTGACTTGCTCTACACCGACAAGCAAGATAACTACTCTGGCGCGGGGGGGGGGGGGGGGGCGTGGTGTAATGTATAACTCGGTAGGAATTTACGTTCCGCCCTCCGCCAATGGGGCAGCTCAAGGTCAATCCACGGTTTTTGGGAATATAAACATTTATTACAAGTGCGGCGATACTTCGTCTACGGGGGGGGGGGGGGGGGGGGGGGGCTGTATCTGCCTCTTATTCGTTGTTCTCACGGAAGGACAGTTCAAGGAGGGGGAGGCTAACTTGACGGGTGCATAAGGCGGGGGGGTCGTTGTTTGCGTAACGCGTGTGGCGACGACGTACTTCCAGAATGGCGTGGGATGAGATGGGAGGGGGATGGGGGAATGGGGGGACGTCTCCAATGCTGAGCCACGGGGTGTTCGACTCTGCGTCGTGATTCGCGACTTTGAGAGCAAGCCAGACCAATACCATCCATCCTCGCCAGTTTCTTTTTTTGTTTGTGGCCGGCGAGATACTACTGCCCGGGGGCTTTTGAGGGGTAGCGAGAGAGCTCGTGCCAGGGAATAACGGTCATACAAAAGACCCTGTGATGTGCAAAGTCTTTCTGCTAGTTCACCGCATGCACTTGGCCGGGGGTCCGGTTGTACGTGGGGGTCATTCTGGGGTTTGCCGAGTCTAGATAGACGGGACAGGGCAGAAATAGTGTGGCCATACTGCGTAGTGACGAGACTAGGTCGAATCAACACCGTCCGATTCGAGTCGCGACAAATTGGCTCGCACACCGCCGGCAAGACTCGAGAGTTTTCGGCTGAGTCTCGCGGCTCCGAAGTTATCTATTCCCGGGCCGGAGGCTTCTCCCCGCCGCGTAGTGGTTCCAGCGCCCCTCCCTTTCTTTCCATCACGCGACTATTGATGTGTGTTGGAGCCAGGGCGTCGACGGCATTTGCTGCTTGGCGCCACGCCGGTTGGTAAAACCCTTGGACGGGACAGCCCCGGGGTTTGTTTGAGGAGATGCCGGCCCAGTCAGCCCCAAAAATGAGACGAATACCGGCATGGCGGAGAAGATCCGACTCCTTCACGTCTAGTGCCGTTGCACCTTGTGATGCACCATGCCACTCGGCTCACCGCAAACTCAATCGGGCGGCAACGAGGGTTCGAACCTAGTTGTGCTACTCCAAGTCTGTCTGCTTATAAGATTGAGAGTGTCCCCGGCTTACCCCCTCGCCTTGTGTTGGTCTCCTTGTCATCCTCTCTATCCTCTCTGCCTCGCTGCATCCGCGCTGCTTCGACGACTTTCCTTAGCACATGCCATCATCATCGGTACCAACGTCACTGCAAGAGTATCCTGCCATCATCATGGCTACTCCCCAACCCGCGGGAGAGCCCCAGTACGGCGCCCCCAAGGCGGAGCATCTCCGACTCCCGGCCGGCGTGTACGTCCCCACCCTGGCCTTCTTCACAGAGTCGGACGAGGTCGACACTAACACGCTCGAGCGCCACATCGTCAGGCTCATCAACGCGGGCGTGGCGGGCATCGTCGTCCACGGGTCCAACGGCGAGGCGGTGCACCTGTCGAGGGAGGAGCGCAGCTCGATGATCCGCTGCGCCGCCGACACCATCCACCAGGAGGGCCTCGACGTCCGGATCCCGCTCGTCGCGGGCTGCGGGGCCCAGTCGACGCGCGAGACCATCCAGCTCTGCCGGGACGCCGGCAGGAGCGGCGCGACGCACGCGCTGGTGCTGCCGCCCAGCTACTACGGCCCGCTGCTCGGCGACGACAGGTCGTCCGCCACTTCTACGACGTCGCCGACGCGTCGCCCGTCCCGCTGCTCATCTACAACTTCCCCGGGGCGGCGTCCGGGCTGGACCTGTCGTCGACGCGTCTCGCGCATCGCGCGGCACCCCAACGTCGTCGGCGTCAAGCTGACGTGCGGCAACACGGGCAAGCTCGCGCGCGTGGCCGACGACGCGCCCCCGGGCTTCTTCGTCGCCGGCGGCAGCGCCGACTTCATTCTGCAGGGCCAGGTCGTCGGCGGCCACGGCACCATCGCGGGGCTGGCCAACCTCGCGCCGCGGGCGTGCGTTCGCATCGTTGAGCTCGCATCCCGCGGCGAGCTCGCCGAGGCGCGCCGGCTGCAGGCCGTCGTGGCCAGGGGGGACTGGGTCGCCATCCGGACGGGCTTCGTGGGCGTCAAGGCGGCCATGGGGCACTTTGAGCAGTACGGCGGCGCGCCACGGAAGCCCTGCGCCGCGCCCTCGCCCGAGGAGCTCAAGGGCATCGTGGAGGGGCTGAGCGAGCTGCTGCAACTGGAGAGGCGGCTGGAGGCGGGAGGCCGCGCCGGCTGCGTACACTGATTGATGGAACTATTCCCGCGCCTTGCTTTGGGGATCGTTTTACCCGAAGGCGCGAGGTGTGGCGTATGGTGTATGATGTAAGGTGACGGTGGGCATGCATTGCAGGGGGGAAAGGGAGCGAGGAAGCATAACGGATGGGAGGCAAAAGTTGGGGGGTGGGGGGTATGGGATGCGACAACTGGTTCCTCGGGGGTGGAACTGATGGCCAAAGAGAATGCAGAGGTGGAGTTTGATTTGGATGGATCTTCTTCGTTTCTCCGATGCAGAAGCCGGATTGAAGGCAAAAGTAAACTTGTTGGCATTCAGAGTAACTGCAGTAAGAGAGAGGAGGGGGGTCAGCTTTGGTGTCGTTTGTCCGACTAGGGGAAACGGAGGATTGTGCATCTAATAGCCGTACATCACAGATCCCTGCATAGCACCATGTGGTTAAGTTAAGTAAGCAACCATTTTGCAACCATTTCGTGGAATCCCTTATTCGTTGGCAACTTGCGCCAAACAGCCTCCTGCTCCTGTAACTATTACTCCACGGTCGACATCGAATAGTGGACAAGTTGCATATTGAATGAGTTTGATATCCAAAGGTCCCGACGGGGCACACACATGCTATACAGTGGCTCCTGCGCAAGGAATTCTCAGAGAAGCATTATTTAGTTGTCTCTTTCCCATTGAGGCTGCCTGGGCGCTGGCTGCAAAACTGATGATGTCTGTTGCCTTTGTCTACTGTTGTGGATTTGTCTGTGGAGGTTGATTTATGATGTCTAATAAGTTTGCTGAAAAAAACTAAACTGGTTAATGTCGTCCATAAAGATATAGTTGTCTTCGTCCTCGCTGTGTTTAAGGTAAAATAGCCCCTCGCGTAAGGCTAATGCCGCATCCAGGTTCAGAACCTTAGAGAGACGCGAGCCAATCATTGATTAGAAGGCCTGCAATCTCCAAGTTAGAGACAGTCCTAAGGTGCTGATAGATGACCGTCTTAGATGTAGCTGCAAGCAACATTAAGGGCCTGCTTAGTGCTTGTAGTGTAACAAACCAAGGCTTTTAGGCAAAACCCCCAACTTCCCGGGGGGTCTCTACAAGAATCAGTGTACTAGTTGCTAGCAAGGGATGTTTCTTAATCTCTAGATATATGTTTACTAATTGCCCTGCAACCTTGGACTACTATCCTAGTACAGCTTTACCCTAGTCCAAGGGTTTCCTTAGCATCTTGGTATATATAATATCCTAATAGGATTTATAGAAGATAGTAGCTAGTAGTAATATACAGTAGGCATAGGTATTTGCGTCTAGGTAAGGAATTTTAGGATTACAACCTCACTTAGGAAAACATAATTGGTCCTGGACAGGCTAGGGAGGCAGCAGCAGGTCTAAAAGACGTATCCTCGCAATCTACACAACGCAATTATTAAAGACAACATCTAGGTGATAATTCTAGCCGCAGCACTGCTGCTCGACGTTTTTAATTCAAGTATCCTAGTTCAAGTTACTGGCGAGCGTAGGGATACGTCAAGGGATGCCATTCCTAGTCTCACTCGCTACAGCTTTAAGAGCATTAACCTAGATCCTTACTAAGGTAGCTACAAGATACCTCCTTTTTGCAACTTGATATTCACTATAGAATCTATCTAGGTTAGAGTCCTACACACAGCTACTAAATTAGCCAACCATATTTAAGGGATAGTTCTGCAGACGTATAAGGGGCATTTGTGACCATCACCTTTTACATAGTTATAGCACATGTGATAGCTACATATCATGCAGCTCTCGATGTTGCGTTCTACTGGATTCCGGCATCCAGGAAAGCAGCAAGTGCGAAGTACCATTTTGAAGAACCTACAAGCGTATGCGACCATGTGTGCGGTGTGTGTCGACTGAGGCCTGGCGGTCGAGATGTGCCAGATGTGTCATACGATCTGACGCCCACGCGCACGCCATACCATACATCTTACTCTATACCCCCCCAAAAGACCCTGATATCGGGCCGACCAAATCTTGCTTCCATGCCAATTGCGCCGGCGAGAGTCGTCGACAAGCAGCCGGTGGCGACGCACTCTTCTCTCCCGTGGGATAAGCCGGGCTTCCCTGGGCGGCCACATGCAATGGCCCCATTGGCCGGGCTGTGAGCGATCACCGTATACACACCTCTGCATAGATGAATGACTAGACGGGATTTCTTGTTTGGTCGCGCCGTTATGTGAAACGGCCCAATTAGGTCGAAATCCATTGAATATTCGAAACCGAGTATTCTTTTCGCCTTGCCGGCTAATTATTTCGAGTATATTTCCAAGAAACATTAATAGTTATATATGCATGCTCACACGCATGCTGGCTACTTCTGCAGCCCGTATGCCCGAGGAGATAGTTGGGCCCTCGATTATCCGACTTGCCTCTGTATTACCACACGTCAAATCATTGGGCCACGTCAACGTCATATTCACCTGCATTGCACTCCCACCCGCGTTGCGCAATCAACCAACCCCGTGCAACATTTTGCCATTTTCATGGCGATCCCCATCAAAGCCCACCTAGTCCATCGTCTTACCCTCCTTTGTGGCCTCGCTGATGCCCTCTACGGGAGACACGGACTCGGTGCTCTCCACGGTCTCGCCCCTCTTGAGACCCAGCTGGCGTGTGTCGTAGCCGTTCGCCTCCAGGTAGGCGCGGTAGCGGGCGTCCTCGAGGGCGATGGTGTCCTGTCCGATGTGCGGCAGGCAGAACACGGCCAGGGCGGCGGACAGGACGCACAGGGAAGACGAGACCCAGAACGGGTACTGGGCCGAGGCGACGGCGTTGTCGCCCGCGGCTGCCTGGATGTAGGGGAACACTGCACGCGTTGGGGACGTGGTTAGCAGATGCAAAAGAGAAAGAGAAAGGCTCGCCTTGCGTCCGGTGCCTGTTTCCCTTCAAATACAGGAGAAAGACTCACCCCAAGTGCCCACGAAAGCGCCAATCTTTCCGATAGCCGCCGCGACACCGTAATATTTTCCTGTATGCTTGTCAGCGTCTTCTTCATTGACACAGCCTTCGTCGTGGAAAAAGGGGGGAGGGAGGCTCCGTACCACGGATACCCGTCGCGCAGGTCTTGGCGGCCAACAAGCCGATGTTGTTTCCGGGCCCGAACTCGCCCAGGGCCAGGAAGACGCCGTAGACGACGACGAAGCCACCGACCATGCCGGGCTGCGACAGGTTGAAGTAGTCGCCGGCCATGATGAAGCCGACCACGGCCTGCAGGAAGACGCCGAGGGCGAGGGCGTAGCGCGGGCCAAGCCAGTCGGAGGCGGGCGCGCCGAGCATGGTGCCGGGGATGTAGAACAGGTTGATGACGGTGTTCCAGCCGAAGACGGTCGTGAGCGGGGCCGTGTCCCCGTACAGGTTGCTCAGGATCGTGGAAGAGTAGATGCCGAAAGAGTAGGCCGAGAACTAAGCAGTATGAGGCGGTTAGCTCACTTCCAGTGCGCATTGTCGAGAGTTGCGACGGTCGTCACTCGGGACAGCGTGAGAAAGGGGGGGGCCGTGAGACTGACGTCGTAGATAAACCAGATCAAGCTGACGACGAAGAGACGCCAGCCGTAGAACTTGAGGGACAGCAGGTACGGCGTCTTGGCGTAGCGCATCGAGTTCTTGGTGAACTCGGCGGGCTCCTTCACGAAGAGGCGGAGGACGAAGAGGAAAATGGGGAAGACGACGCCGATGCCCAGGCTGGTGCGCCAGATGGTGCTGTAGTGCCCGTTTTGGCAGGCGGCGGCGACCACGTACGGTACGAATGCTATGTCGGAGATGTCAGTAAGGTTTCGCCAAAGCGCCTCGGAAGCAATGTATATGGTGTGACGAACCGCCGATGACGAAACCCTGCGCCGCACGCATGGCCATGTTAGCAAAAAAGGGTCCCGCGAGAGAGGAGGATTGCGCAATTTCTTCTTCTCTCCAATCTTACCCAGTCAATCATTGTGTTGGTGAACATGATGAACCAAAGGTTCCTCGAGCCCGACTTGAGCTCGCCCGTGGACTCGGCGGCGCCGACGCTACCGGCCGGGTACTCGCCTCCAATGCCGATGCCGACCTATTCGTCGCCGGGGAGGGGCCAAGGTTAGCCAGAGACATTCTTGGCAAGGATGGGGACGACAAGGGGGGGGGATTCGCTTACGAAGAAGCGCCAGGCGGCCAGCATGTTGAACATGCCGACGGGCTCGCTCTTGTAGTAGGAGCCGGCGGCGAGGGCGGTGAAGACGACCAGGATGACGGTGGAGACGAGCAACGAGTTGGTGCGCGACCAGTGGTCGGCGAGCCAGCCAAAGGCCAGCTGGCCGACGACGGTGCCGGCGAAGGCGATGTCGCCGACATACTTTTTCGCGTTGGACGTCTTGTAGAGGTCGCCGTACTGGAGCGCGAGGACCGTGGTGACGGACCCGATGACCTATATACGACAGTTGCCCGCATTAGCTACCGGGCTTCCTCCCTTGGACGATTGGAAGGGGTTCGGTGCTTACGTTGTTGATGTACCCGTCAGAGAACAGACCGGCGCCGCACGCGATGACAGGGACGATGGCCTCGCGGAACGGCTTAGACGGTGCGTCGGCGGCGGCGACGGTCTCGCGAGCTGCCGCCTCGGACTCGGACGACTTCTTCCTTGCAAAGTTAAACATGACAGGCGACGAGCGACGAGGGCAGAGCAAAGCAGGTCGCGCGGCTTGGTGGGGGGATTAGACGAAGCAAGGACGTGTCGCCAAGCTGGTCGCAAGCCGTCGCGAAGGGTTTAGAGAATGTTGGCCGAAGCACGGGCGTATCTGAGGGGAACCGGGACACCAAAGGTATTTATTCGTTCGGACGATGACGGGCCCATTCGGAGCGGGGGAGGAGAGAAAGGAGGAATGATCTGAGCGAGCTTGTCATTCGGGGGGATCCGGTCATCTACCCAACCTTTACATAGTGTAGTGTACCCAGATCGGAGTGAACTTGGATTATCAGTTATCAAACCATGACTAGCCTATCCCTGGCGCCGAGGTCGATTGAATGCCTCGTGCTACAAACCGTTGGTCTGTATGGCTGTTGGAGCCTTTCGCGGTACAAGGGTTGTGCTGATAAGACCACGGGTATGCGGCAAGAGATATAAGCGTTGGCCGTATGGAGTAACACTAGCACACAACTGTAGATTTAGAAGACTTGTTCCTTCGAACAAACCCGTTGCATTCCGTCTGAGGAAAATACCTACTAGTTTTTTTTCTTGTTTGCCTACTTCGTATGCCGAAGCAACGCGGTCGATTTGCTTCCCCATAGCCGATTGGGGGAAGAAGCTTCTGGTAGGAACGGCCCGATGTGCTAAGCTTTTTTTTCCCCCTTCCTTCTTTCTTATTCTTTTCAAGCATTACTCTACCGGTAGTCGTCTTGGCGGGCTTACTACCGTAGCCACTCGCTAGATCGGAGTAGAGCTAATTATCAGACTAACCAGTGATGGCTAGCGTGTATTTCATACGCTAGGCTAAAATATAGAAGGCGGTCAATCTACCTACCCCACTTGCCACCTGACTTGCTGCTGACGTACGTGACTAACCCCTGCTTTCTGCCAGCCCACTATACCCATCACAGCAGCCGCGACACCTCTTACGGTTAGCTCAATAATTAGCTCTGTTCCGATCTGGCGAGTGGCTACGGTACTACCTATTCGGCAAAGAACCAACCAACCCTATGCCGAGACCCCACTCACCCCTCCCGCTGCGAGTTGCATTGTTTTTGTTGTTGCTGTTGTTGTACTTGTAAGAGAGCCGCAAGAGCAAGCGAAAGACCCCCCGGGCCGTCGCGCAATTCGTACCAAAGATGACTTCCTTATCTTCCGGCTGGCTCGCGGTCCCCCCTCCCCCGGACCGTCGATGAGCCAAAACCTACCTCGGAGCCCGGCCCGATGCGGCCAACGCAACCAACTCACCAGTGTCCAGTACGGAGAGAAATACACTCCACAAGGATAACAACATCCAAGATACGGGCCAACACAAAGTCTAAAGCTCCCGCTCCTCGCTGCTTGCTGGTCCTCAAACGACCTTCCGGCTCAGTGTGATTAATCACTGGCCGACTTTCGTTTGTTCGGCCACCAGCTTCGTAGAACCGCCGCGCTGATGCACCGCTCGCGAGATACGCCGTTTGTGTCGACCACCACGGCTCGTGTCCAACACTGACGGCCGTAATAGGCTCACGTTCGGCCATCATCTTGCCCAAGCTCCCGGATTGAACGTCGCCCCCTCTCTGTGAAATCCCTATACTGGCGCCTCGTAGGCATCGTTTCACCGACGCAAAACTGCGGCATGCACAATCATGTCGTATGCACGACTGGCGCCAGAGTTGCACCAGCACCTTCAGGCAAAGTTCTGGCTTCGGGAAAGGATACTAACTAATCACCGACTCTATCCACCAGGCCAAATGCATCTCGAGAACGCTGCACATTAGTGATCTGGCATGACATGGCATGGCGCGGCGCGACATGCGCCTGCTGGCATCATAGTTATATGATGCAAACCCGGCTGCCGGTCTTTCGGTCTCTAGATTGACAGCCAAAGCCAGCAAGTGTGCATGTGGATGGGATGGGATGCCTCAGGAGCATCCAAGTAATGACAGCATTGTTGAAGGTACGTTATCTACGCCTCCTCGGAAGGTTTAACGTCGTACTCAACCTCCGTCCTGATCACATACTTGGCTCCCCTCCGAACCCCAGTGCCCTCGTGCAATGGCGCATCCCTAGCATCTCCATGCGGGAACATGGCGACCCCGCCCATGACAGGGCGGATGGGGTACGCGTTGAGCGTCCCCTCGCGTGCGCCTGGGAGGAAGTAAGTCGTTTCGCCACCCTCAAACTCGTCATTCAAGTAGATCAAAAACGTAAAGAGCGAGCTCTGCGCCTTGCCTTCGGGCGAGGCGTCGTACACGTACGTGTCGTCGGGAAGGATACCCGACGGGGGCCAAGCCCCGTCAATGTGCGCGCGGTACTCGGCGCCAGGGACGTAGCGGTAAACGCGGAAACGACGGTTGAGGCCGCGGACTGCACGCCCGCCGACGGAAGCAGGGACGAAAGACGACACTCGCGCCCACAGAGCGTCGTGGAAGGCCGTGTCGACGACCCAGTAGAAGTTGTGGGCGAGGATGCTGATGTCTCCATCCTCGCGCAGCGGCGCGTCAGGGAGGAAGTTGACGGTTTCGCCTGCGGCAATGATGGCCTTGCACTCGTCGGGGGAAAGCACATCTTTCAAGAGGCTAAGCCCAGGCACCACAGGATGAGAATGTAACGTGGCCGGCGGACGCTCTGCTGTGAGCGGGATCGTGTTCGGGGCAGAAGTGTAGAGCAGGGCGTCGTGATGGTTTGGCGGCTTGCGTAGAGGGCCGCTCGTGCGTTCGATCACGCGGAGGGACGCAGCAAGGTCTTGCGGTGCCGACTCGAAGATTGTCCTGTCGAGAACCGAAGCGTATACCTGTTGCGGCGGTGCGGATGGGCGAAGGTCCCATGTCTCTTGCAGAGCGATGCCTGGTGTGGAAGAGAGGGGCAACGGCATTGCCTTGGGGTTGCTGTCTGAGTGGCCGCAGGCACGCAGCACGGCATCAAGGGTCAGCAAGCGCTGCTTGTCCCTTTCGCTGCTTTGGAAAACGACTCCGTCTCGTTCGCCTTCCGGCATAGTTGACAGGCCGCTAATGACGTCAAGGTCTCGCACCCAGCGACACAATGCTCCCAGCTTCGGTTCTTGGCCGCGAATCCTCATCTCGGCGAGCAAGACCCGCGCGTCGTCGTACTTCTCGTCCGCAAGTGCGCCCGTAATTCGAGCCGTAAGTCCGAGGTTTGTGCCCGCTGGGAGACGCATCCGTTAGTGTTTGTTTCGCCAAGGGCACGAGGCCACGAGGGGACGGCACATACGCGCATTGTTGAGACCGCTGGCGCAGTTTTGGCGGAATTCGTAGACGGCAACCCGGAGGTCTCTACACTGCTTTGACTTGATCAAGTTCGGGTACTTCGCCAGAGCGTTTAGAGTCTCAACCGTGATGTCAAGCTCCTCGTCCGATATGACCGTTTGGATACTCTTGGGTTCGAGGGCCGCAGCATTGTCGTCACTACTGTCGGGAGGGGTAATTGCTGTGCTCGTCGCCGTTTTGGGAGCCTTGCGCGGCAATTCGACCTGCACAGTCTGTTTGCGCTTCTTCGCCTTGGACTTCGTCATGGTCAATTCAATTGCTTCGATAGTCTAATCACGACGGTGTCAGAATGTTGGTGGCGTGACAAAAAAGGCGGAATAAGAATTAGGACCAGGCTTCCCCCACTGAGTACACTACGCTAAAGCAATCGCCGACAGTGCGGCGGGTTGTCAAGGGTCCTGGCCCCCGCGGGGTGCTGGTCGGGTGTTTTCTGCCTGAGGCATATATCAAGCCGGTGAGGATGAAAGACGAGCGTCGCGTGATATGTCACGTGGAGTGTAAACAGAGGGTAGTCCCGACTCTCTGGCTTAGAAGGATCAATTATGTCTACAAATGAGAACCAAAGTTTTAGGTTTTACTCTCCATTAGTCCCTAATTTATCTACTAAGGACGAATTCAGCATTAAAATTGGCAGTCTTAAGATACAGATTCATCTAACCAGGTCAAAGCTATGATTGTTGGTATCACAGGGATCGCGATCAAGGTAGCCGCAATAGTATCAATTGACTATTGGTAGCTGGGTGAAGATGATGATCAAGGGAAAGAGAAGAGGTTGCTGCCGTGGGTGAGCCGCCGGGGTGAGTCACGTGATGATAAATCACGTGACTATGGATCGGTTCCACCATTAAACAATTGAATATCCTGACACTAGTAACTTTCTAAAGTAAAGGAAAATCGCTACAAATAGCCTAGATACTGCCTAGTAGCTAAAAAGCTTAAAAACGTAATAAAAATTAAAAGCCTAAAAGTATTTAATACTGTCAAATGTGGCGGAATTACACGTGAATTAACTGGCGAATGCACGGTTGCCCTACGGCGAATTGTCGGGGAATGGGCGGTGAAAGGGCCCCACTTTCAGGGTGAATCCACTAATCATATAGCCAGGATTTATTCAGGATTTCCTAACTAAGAAATAGGGGGAGTTCTCTACTCCTGCAGGATCTTAACTAGATATATATAACATATTATATAATTAATTAAGTAACTATTATAATCCTTATAATTTAATAATTAATAGTCTAATATATATATCTATAATAACTAATATACCTATCTACTAATTAAATACTATTATAATAATTAATAAGAACTATAATAATAAAGTAACTATCCTATAATTACGTAGTAATTAGTTTGTATAGCTTAACGCTATCTAAGTAAAGGTAAAGCGTTATAATCTCTAGGAGTATATTAACCTAAAGGTTATAGCAGCAGACTAATTAATCCTTAAGATATATCTAAAGAAACTAATAAAGCTGCTTATAACGTAATATCTATACGCCTTAACTAAGGATAAGCTTACTACTTACTAAGAGGTTACTATAGCTATAGTAATTACTAAGATATCTTAGTAAGTAACTATATAGCTATATATAGTAAGAAGTAAGGCTATTATAACTATACCTAATAGGCTTATATATAAAACTAAACATATAATAACGCTAGATAATCTTAACCTATATAATTTTATATACTTAAATAGCTAGATAAGCTACTATTATAAAGAAGTATAAAAGTATACTACTTAGTAAAAGGACGTTAAAGACGTAGCTAACGTAGTTAAATCTACTATATCTATAGATCTTTAAGAAAGATATTATAAATCTAATAAATTACTAGCTAAATAGCTTAATAAGCTTAGCGTAGCAGTAGGAATAACTAAAGAAAAGCGTATAAAGTACGCTTATAATAAATATAGTAAAGTGTTAGTAAAAGCCTAGCAAAAGGCCTTAACTACTAAAAAAAATCTTACTATATAGCTTAATAAATAAAATATAGCCTATAGTAAGTTAATATAAGTTAATTTACCTAACTACTAATAGCTATTAATATAGTTTAATAACCTTACTACTACTTTATAAAATAGTTTACTTAGCTTCTAGCTAGATTTATATATAGTAATAAGTAAAATAATAAGTAATTAGAATAATCTTAACTAGTAGTTCTTTTATAAAATAGCGCTAGAGAAGGTTAAAGCCCTTACTAATAACTTACTATATTATAGCTAAGTAGG